TGTTCTGCCCTAAAGGCCAGGTCTCTGTTCTACACATTGTTATTGGCATTGCCATTGGCCTTTCTGTTATTGAACTATTTACATTTGTTGCTAATTTACGACACATCGCCTCTGGGCCTCTTCGGCTTCGGGCTGACTCTCTAGGCGTTTCGGCATTGGCATCAATGAGGCCTTAAACCAGCCGGCAAATTGTTGTTCATAAATAAATATGCCGTACATAAATCCCTATGCTATAAATAAGCGAGAACAGGCGTAAAGCAATTTATAGGCATTGATTTTCCGTGACTCTCCGGACACACTCCATTGATCCCAGCAGCAGCAGCAGCAGCAGCCGTCCCGGAGGAAAAGTGACAAAAGTCTTGAGTGAAAGTGAAACTTTCTATTGGTTGGACCCCACCCCCACTGTGTCCATTGTGCCCAATGGCGGGGGTTAGGGGTCAGCCGCAGCACGTTGTTCCTGCTGTTGCTCCACTGACACTTATTAGATAAGTTTTTTGGTGAGTTCCGGACCGTGTCCGTGTACATCATTTAGCCATTTGCCATGCTGCTTCTTTTGCTGGGGCGTCTTCAATTTTAATTGCATGCCAAAAATATCCGGGTGCCAAGGGACTTGCCTCTGACAGTGGCCTCTTGAAATCCCCAGCTAAGCCGCCCCAATAAGACTTTTTATTGTCTTAGCCGGGCATTTAAATTGATCAAAAATGTAGCAAAAGCAGTGCCAGAGAGCAGAACCTGAGCCAGAGCCTGAACCTGAGCCAGAGCCAGAGTCCGACAGTCTGCTGACGATTTCATTCAATCTATAAGTAATTTCTTGGCAATTTTTATCACACAGCCCAAGGACGAAGGACGAAGGAAGAAGCGTTGCTAGGGAGATGAGCCTGAGACCACCCACGTGATTTGAATATTTTTCCAATAAACTTCAACAGCTTTTCAACAGTTCGAAAAGGGGCAGGGGCGAATGCCTATGCCTGGCACTGCTCTTGGTGCTCGTCCCCGTCCCCGTCCTAGTCTTGTTTTCATTTACATATTGGATTTAAATGCCCAGGATTTCCTTACTGTGCTCCTCCACTCTATGTCCTGGCTGTCCATGTCCAGCTGAGTGTTTTTCCTGCTTTGCTTTGCTTTCGTTTGGTTTGCCCTGCTTTTTGCTTGGTCTTTGTATCCGAGAGAGCCTAAGCTTAATCGAATTTCCCGCAAATTGGCAATAAATTTTAATTTTGAAAACGATTCCCCAGCGCTGATTGAAGTTAATCAAACGCCAGGCCGCCAGGCCGCGAGGCCACAAGTTTTTAAGCCTCCGTTTTGCAAGCCGCAATGGCTTTCGGTTCATGTACTCCATTGTCCTTGTTGTACGCCGGATCATCTGCCAGGGCATTGCACTCCGCCTTGCTCCGAGCACCGTGCACCTGCACAGCAGAGCGCCGCCTACTCCGTCGTACCCGAAATCCCATTCAATTTGCAGCGTGAAAGCGTGGCGCTTCTGGCAAAAAAACTTAGCAGCAAACAAGTTGCAAAGAGCAGAAGGCAAAAACAAGGCTTATTTACCTTCGGTCAGGAAGGGTTCTTTTTTCTCCATTCCCTACGGCTGGAAGCACTGCTGCCTGTGCCACGGCTGCTGCTGCTGCAGCAGCTGCAGCTTTCGAAACTACTTCATCAATTTCATTCAGCACAACGGCGCCGCTTTCCCCCCCCCCCCACTCTATCCCTCTCACGCTCTTGGCTCTACTTTTTTTTTTTTTTTGGGCCCATAATCAAGTTAAAAAGCATTGGCAACAAGAAAACCCCAACAACAACAACAGCAGCAGCAGGAAAACTAAACACAGACCAGGGGAAAAATGATGTTTTAGTTGCTGTTGTAGCCGGTTGCCAGTTGTTGGTTGCTATCTCTGAGAGAGAGAGCGGACACAGACCTGGTTCTGGACCTGGAAATGGATGTGGACGTGGACGTGGAGCCATGATGATGCCAGCGATTACGCCCACTTTTGTAGACGCCATCCGCCCAATGTTTGGGCCATGCCTTGTCGCCTGTCTGTCTGTCTGTTTGTCTGTTAGTCTGTCGCTATCCTGTCGCAAGCCTCCTACTACTACTACTCCTACATTTTCCATGGAAATGGATTTGACGAGGCATGCAGCACTTGCAGAACCAGCGTTTTGACACTAATTTCATTTGCGTTGAAGCACTTTTTGTGGCCATCCCCGTCTCGGAGACGAGACGACTGCTGCGGCAGCATCGGAAACAAAGACGGTTGCACTGCCCCCAAAATAAGTTGTAATTGCATTGCACTACATTTAAGTTCAATTTGCGAGCTGTTTAGCAAAAACAGTTGCCATACAACTCCCCACCACACAGATGGCTGATGGCTGATGGCTGATGGCTGTTGGCTGTTGGCTGACTGCTGTATAGCTGATGGCTGATGGGCTGATGTCTGAGTGCCTTGCCGTTTGCCTGAAAGAGTTTCCAAAGTATTTATTTATTTTGCACGCAGCAATTCCGTTTGCCTTTCGAGTTAACTGAAAACTGTAAATGGTTTTTAGAGACAAACGAATGAACGAAGGCACAGACAGACAGACAGACACTCCGCTGATGGCTGCCGCTTGCTAGAGCTTAAACCATGATGGAGAGCTCTCTACGAGTATCATCCGAGCATTTTCCGTGTTTAAGTTGCTAGGATATATTACAGTAGAACCTTGTCCGCTTGCTAACCTTTGTCTGAATGTACCTAATTTTTTTTTAAAACTCTGAGTTTCGGAGGATAAAGCAGCTTCAAGAATCATTAATTAATTTAATTGGAGCCCAAAAGTTCTAATATTTATATATATTTCATATTTAAATGAAATATTTTCTTATTTAAATTCAATATACTTATTTTAAATTTGAATTTTGGTATAGATTCTTGAAAAACATATGAAAATATATTGTGGTTCGGGTTGAATGTAGTATAAGGATTTCTCCATCAAACAGAGAGAAAATAACTCTATTTAGCGGATATCCTATGGTCTAACCTCGATCTTCCCTTAAGCAGAATTTATGTTGTGAAATTTTTCACTTCCATTCAGCCGATTTATCCCAAGGATCCCTCCTCGTAGGTGCCGTATACCGTACTCGCATTCCCATTACGTGTTCGATATCTTCACCTGGCAGCCGCAACAGTTAGAGCTGTAAGCCACACTCCTCAAGGAAATCACCCTAAGCCCCATGCCATGCCTGCTGCCCCTATGCGTTTCCTATATGCGTATCCTGGCGTCGTGGAGTCCTGGCGTTCTGGTTGAATGTTTGGGTCGTTTGGGTGGGGGCGTGGTGTGGCCATTCTCTCAATCTGACAATCGCATCGGCAATGCGTGTGTGTGGCACGCTTTAATGCGAAATTCTGATTGCGCTCGAATGGCTTCATTTATTTTCGCCACGGAGAAAAAATCCGAGCAACGCGCGAAAAAAATGTGCGGAAAAACTGCGAAAAAGAAAGCCAAACGAAGAAAAACAAACACGACGAACGACAGTTGTACATAATATTTCACTTATGAATGTGTGCGTGCGGCATGCCGCCCCTCCCCCACCCACTGGGGCGTAGGGGAGGGCGGGCGGAGGTGCAAAGTGAAATGGATGAACGGCATGCGTAACGCTAGAAAATTTGTTATAGCAATTTGAACTGTCAACGAGAAACCGAAAAAGTAAATTAGGAAACATTTGAAATTTAATTCACTTGCGACCCACAGTCCTTGTGGGGCACACATATGATGTATCTGTGTGCGTGTGTGTGAGATCTTGTGAGTGGCAGCATCATAGTCGTGGAGCAGTCAGACTGGCTGGCTGGGAGTGCGAGTACGTAGTAAGTCTGGCAGGTGACACCGACACCTCCTGCCGACACAGACACTTAAGCACAGTAACTCGGGCAAAAGCAGCCAGAACCACTGCCAGAGACCCCACTCATCCTCATACAGTCACACATGTACACTCACACACACTCGCACATTGAGAGACATGCAAAATTAGGCGAGTGTCACGAATTTAAAATAACTTTTAATTCATTCTTGATGAACATATGCAAACGTTGCTCTTGCCTTGTGAGTGCCACACACATGACTGAGACCCCCTTTTGCATATGTAGACATGTGTGTGTGTGTGTGTGTGGTTGCCACGCCTCTTAAGTGCCACATAACTCGAGCTCAGCATAAACAACCGCACTCGCATAAATGTTCGTTAAACTCAACAGACACCAGCAGCAGCAGCAGCCACAGCAACTGGGACCCAGGGGCTCCAGCTACCAGGTAAAGAGCAGCATCCCACTCCCACTCCCCAGCCACCAGCCACCCACCTGAGCCACATAATTATTTAGTTTCCAGTTGGACGGAAATTGTGGCACAGCTACTTGGTGGCAGGGACAGGTATAGTATGAGTATGGGCCTTTGGGCCTTTGGACCACACAACTCCTTCACCATCTTCGATTGTCATAAATCAACACGGACTCACGGACTCACGGACTCACGGACCCTCACGGCTCAAAAATGGATAGAGAGAGTGGATCGAGGGGGAGGTGGGTGAAGTGTTGTCAACCGATTGTTTGCCCTTGGCATATGTTCGCTCTGATGCCCAATGCCCAATGCCCCATCCCCCCATGCCCATGCCCCCCTATGACAGGTGCAAGTTTTGCAAGCGACCCACTTAGCGGAGAATTCAAATTTCAGTTTCTGTTTGCACGACGCGTCGGACAGCAGGAGGACAGAATTTCCAGTCCAGTGACGAGCGAGCGCGAACTCGTGGCAGAATAAAAGTTAGCGTAAATTATGCGGCACCGTGCGCGCCCGCTAATAAAAATAGAAAAGAGCGAAGGAACTGAAAACAAAAACACGATACCAAAAAGAAAACAGAAAACAAACAACGAGAGCCAGAACCAGAGCACAAAATGAAAGGCCATGTAGTATGTACACCGCTCTGTGGCAGAGCCAGTGCATTGAACTGGCTGTGGGTGCCCCACCGTGCAGCATCTAAATGCGATACCAACCTTATTGCGGGGAGCAGAGCAGAGCTCTTTCAGATCCTTCCAGCAGCAGCCCGGCCGTATGGTCGGTGCTCTACGGGTTATGCTTTCTAATCCACGCACGTTTTGCTTTTAATATTTATTTTGCGCTTTTTCACACTTTTGCACACTGTGGGGGGGACAACGCACTCTCTTACACAGACACCGCACAAAGGTTCGAGGACTTCAAAGGACTCCCTCTCTCTCACTCTGTCTGGAGGCAGTTCCTGGCAGACTTTGATTATCGATGGCTGCTTATGGATGGGTTATGGGTTTTCTTTTCGTATGCACGGCGAGTGCCGGCGTACAGTTCATCAATGCAAATTGACACTAAACCACGGAGCATCGGCGGGTTATCTTTGTCTTTGTTTTTGTTGTTGTGTGATGTGTGATGTCTGATGGACATAGATATAGATGTGGATGTAGATAGATGCCGGCATACATTCACTCGGATCGTGTTTATTCTATTGTTTTTTGTAGTGGGGTAGTCCCCTGTGATGCGAGCACTCGAGTGCCACAATTTTGTGTGTGTTGGGCAAATGTTATTTAATTATTGCGAAACTCTGCTGTTCTTGCTGCTGTTTACTTTTGGGGCATGGCATGCCTTTTTGGGCTCTCTATTTCCCAGTTCCCAGTGGAAGCCGAAGCGACAGCTGGATGGATATTGTACCCGTTACACTAACCGAACCGCACGAAAGACATTTTCAAACTGATTTGCAGTCGATGTCGAACGGTAACGAGCGCACAGCCGAAGCATGCGGCATCCTCGGAACACACACGGCGAAAGGCATCCACGAAGACGACGAGTCCTGCGAAAAGTGTGGAACGAAACGGAACAAAACGGAAATGGCACTTGGACTTGTGGATGCTGTGTGCTGCTGTGTGCCACTGCCATATCGTTCCCCGACTGATAAGAGACCCAGCTGTGTGCGTGTGTGGCACTTAACTTGCAACATTGACAACAATTTATTTTTTGCACGTTGCTGGCATTTAAATGTTTTTGCTCTCTCTGTCTGCGGATGGAGTGTACGGTATGGCACTTTTTTAATCACTTAAAAATTTATGCGCGTCTTTTTTTTGTTTTTTTTTTCGACACGTGCGTGTCAAAATGTTAGCGTCAACGCTGAAGGGTTAAACATCACATAGCGAGAGATAGAAGGGGAGCCAACAATTTGTTACCGAGTTTATTACAGTGACAAACAGCAGACCAGGCCAGTCAGAGCCAGGCCGAGAACTGCACGCGCTAAAGACATCACGCAGCGATATGCAATGGCAGAGTTAATGGCATATAATCCAGAACGAGTCGAAACGAGGCGAGGCGAGGCGAACGGACAGGACAAGTCAGCCAACCAGCCGTTTCCTTTTACGAGTGCGTAATAAGAAAGAGTGCGACGTGCCACACGGACGGGACGTGAGGCGTGGAGCACACAGACACTCTCGCTCCTGGAAAATCATGGACCCTTTTTTTGCTGTTCTTGAAATTAAACACGAGCCCCATCCTAATCCTGGCTAAATTAAAAACACTATCGTCGCGTCTGCCGGCGGCTAAGAGCGCGCACTAAGAGAGCGGCTTGGCCCAGGAAAGAGCAGCCCAGGCACCGGCACCGGCATCCAACTTCGAGTTTTAGGTTAGTAGGGCAGCGAAAGGACACCGCAGGGACGACAGGAAGAGCGGGCGCAACTTAAGCCAGCAATTAAAATCGAGCAGGGTTTATTGACTAGGGCCCGTGCCGTCGTTGGCGTTGGCGTTGCCATGGCATATGTACGTGTGCATTTCACACCTTGCAGCGGCAGTGGCAGTGGCAGTGGCAGCGGCAGCGGCAACGGGAGCGATGGTCTTGTCTTAAGTGCACTTCAACGGCGAGGGCTGAGCCGATGCTGAGACTGAGACCCCGGCCAAGTGTTTGCCATTTGACACTCTCTTGAGCAGAGACAACAAGTGCGAAGCGAGAGTAGGGCGACGGCTGAGAGTGCGACTACGAACCGAGTTTGCTAAGTATTTTTCAATTAAAATGTCGGCGGAAACTTGCACGCATGATGAGCAGGAAAGTTTTTCATTGTCGGCGCCCAAAATCGTGTGCTCGATGCCCCCGCACCATGCTCCACAATGGCAACTGAAACGTTTGCTGAGGCAGAGACTCGACACTCGACTAACGACGGGCGCCAATCAATCTCCATTCTCCATTGCCCTAGCAAAATGTTGGCATTGCCAGCCTCCTTGCGACATATTTAAATCAGAATTGGGGAGACAGACTCGAATCGGCTTTCGGCCGCTTAGGCAGTTGAAAAATTAACTTGTCCAACAACTGGCGCCAGTAAATAAGCGAAATCCCGGGAATAGATTGGTGTCGCCTGTCTGCTGCTGCGTGTCCTTTGGAAAGCTTCTATTCCAAGTGCCATAGAATCATCAGCGGCAGTGTGGGGGTGTGGGGCGGCAATTGGAGAGTATTGCACTAAACACTGGACAAAGCTACGCCTGTTGCTGTTGCTGTTCCTGTGGCTGTGGCTGTGTGGGTGTTGCTTCTGTTGATGTGTCCTGTCTGCTGACATGAGCTGCAAAGTGTGGCACGTGTTGGCGTAACAATTTTGGCAGGGCACTAGCATCAGAGGCAGCAAAGGCAGCAGCGAGGATGAACGGGGAACAATGGCAAACGCTTTTATGTGCCGTAATGAAAAACTGTTATCTGCGTGCGCAATTTGAACGCAATTTGGTAACGCGTTTCGCCACATAAAACTTAAGTGACCCGAAACCAGCCCAACCGAAGACCTGAAGGACCTCATGCCTCCTCCTCCTCCTCCTGTGTGTGTGGGGGGTTGTGTGTTTATGGTCCTGCGTGCAGCTTGCAAAACTGTTGACACTCGCAGGAAATCAGGAGCCCCGCAGCCACAGCTAAAGCCAAAAGCCAACGACAATGACAGCGTCGATGGCACTGGGGCTGGGGAAGTGCAGAGTGCGAGAAATGAAATTGTTTGGCGATTATGCAGCATTAAAGCCAAATGTGCCGTGTATGAGCGGCCACGGGCATCACATCACCCACCTCAACCGTCAACGCACTTTACTTTTATTTACATGTCAGTCAACTAAGGCGCACACACTCGCCCTTGCCTCCAGCCCACTGCCCAGTGCCACACAACTGTGTAGCAGGGCCACACAGGGCAACCCCTTGCTTGCTTGCTTACTTCCACGGTGTGGCAACAGATTTGTTGCAGCTGCGGCTTTGCCAAACTATCATTAACATGTGGCGGTGGCTCTTGGCCCCTGGTCCTTAGTCCCGGAATCCGAGCGGACTATCCAGGACTCTCGCTCTGCAACACGAAAGGACAACAAAAATCCTGCGCTTTTGCAGTTTTTACAACTTTTCTGCTGCTGCTGCTGCTGCTGCTGCTGCTGCTGCTGCTGCTGCCTGGCTGGCTGGTGCTCTGGTGCTTATTTACTTGTAAAATTTATTAAATATTTTTGTGGCTGTTGCCTTTGCTTTGTTTCCCTTTTGGCCTTTCCTTTTTTGTTTTTGGTATCCTTTTTTTGTGTACCGCAAAATTGCTGACGTTTTTAATCCTTAAGAAGCTTTTGGCTCACATTTTTACAGCACACACACACACATACACCCGTTGCAGGGCGGCAGGCGGAAGCTTTCCCCTTTTTTTTTAATATGCATTTTGCATAATTTTCATATAAACATTACTCATACACCACGTGCACCATGCAATAGCAGCAACATAATAAGCAAAACAATTTAGCCAGCTTAACACAAATGAAATTTCGTGGCTCCGGGGCTCACTGCACCGCCAGCGTAATTTGATTGGTCTCCAGGTACTCTCTCTCTCTGTCTCTCTCTCCCTATCATCAATCCATCAGCCCACTCTTATGGCCCGGCATTTGTTGGCTTAATAAACTTTTATTGGCAAGACGAGAACATATGTACGTACGGATGTGCGTGGCTTGAAAATGCAGCTGCCAAACAAAATCCTGAACAATATTAGACAACAGGCAGGCATGCAGGCAGGCATGCAGGCAGGCAGGCAGTGAGCTCTCACTGCTGGTGGTCAGAGCTCATGGCCAGATATGATCTGTAAGCCCCTATTACATTTCTTTCTGCAATAGGAAAACCAGCTGCCGCACCCTTCTGTGAGATACGGAATATTTGTGTAGGCGACGCCGGGCTGGCTGCCTGGCTGACTCTCTCTGCATTTGGCGCCGCTGGCCATCAAATTTTAATTAAAATTCAAAAACCAATAAATGCTCTCGACAAGAAACAAAGGGGGGAGATTTCTCTGAGAAAATAAACTTGTAAATGCCGCACACTAAAACGAGAACTGATCTATTAAAAATATTTCCCATGCATATTATTCTATGCACTTTTTTGATTAATTTTATTATTCCCCCGATCAGACCACAATAAAAAGCTGCTCCCTCTCGTGTGTTTATGTCTGGATGTTGAAATAATATTTATATAAGCTAATTGGAAATTCCATAATCAATCCAGAGGTCACACACACACACACACACACACACATAGCAGATGGCATTCAGTAAATTGGTTTTGCTACTACTTATTCATGCAATATTCAATAGGTTTTCGGTATGTGGGTTCGCAGAACCGTTTAAGCTTTTGCATAACGACACTCCGTCACTTATGTATGTGCCCCCATCTGTTAAACTTTTCTGCAGTTCAAGGAACTATCTACTCTTCGTTCCTCGGCCTGGTAATTAAGCTGGGGAAAAGCATGGAAAACAATACAGGAGCGGAGCAGTATTTTCCACTCACTTGCTTCCTCCGCGTGGCCTATTGTTGCTGCTGCTTGTGCTTCTGTTTCTGTTTGTTTGGCTTATAGTTCAGCCATGACTATGGATATAGCTCTACCTTCCATTCCATTCCAGTCAGCTGCTGTTGCTGCTGCTGCTGCTCCTTGTTGGCATTGTTTATGTATCTTAAGGATAATGACGCGCTTCATTATGCGCTTGTGTGAGTATGCTGCTCCTTCTGCTTCTGCCTCTGCCTCTGCTTCAGCTTCAGCTTGTGCCTTCTGGCTGTGCTGGGGAAACGATGCTCCTCCTGGCGCTTTTTGTGGCCTGCCTTATT